ATATATATATATATATATATATCACTAGTGATGGCTGATAGAGTCGTTGTCCAGCTTTGGCACTTGATTCAAAACATAGTTCATCACTCACTGATTCAATGACAGTGCTTGAGTAGGACACCTAGTGGTCAATACAATTTAGTGCAGTGGAGACATGTTAATTCTTGAACTTTCATTCATTTGACTGTAATAGTGTTCTTACGGCATGGCTGAGTTATCTACACTTATCTACATTTCACTTTCTCCTTCCTCTATGAGCCATTTAAATAGTACTAAAACAGCAGGATATACTCATTGATAGAGTGATGTAATTTTCAGAAGGGACAGGTGCAAATACACATATTATGGATCTTGCAGTCAGGTTTATTGGTAAAGAGATTGGTGAGTGTGTGAGCCAATCCAGAGGTTGTATAAAGTCTGAAACACTGCTTTGGATTTGACTCAATTGCTTTAAATGTCAGTGATCAAATGACCAAACCATAACACGACACAGTGGTTCACATTTGATTCTGCTTCTGTGCATTTATTGGAGCCTCAGGTGACTGAGGACCATCTGCTATTTACTTTAGATCAAGTTTTCTCCTCTTTAGAGCTGGTTTAATGGATTTTTTTTTTGTGTTTTTTCCCCTCACCAGAGGTTTACGTAGCACTTTGTTGAAAAATATAGCTTTGTTTGTTGTTTTGGCCTTGGTTCATCATGAAGTTGTTGCTTTGTTACATTTAAACACCCAAAATGCACATGCAAACCCCATATATTTATCTTGGAGGGTAATAATTACAATACAAGTTAATGTAGGCCAGTAACCTCTTTATGGTGGACATATCACCCAATCATTTCTACTGTTTTACAGATGGATCACTTCTGAAGAGGTCAGCAGGTGCTGATTTTGCACAACCATAGCAAGAGTGAGTACAAATACCCACTAGGTTGTTTTGCAACTGTATCTCAAGCTGAGATATATGCACTCCACCAGAGTGTGGCAGCTCTCAAAGACCTTCAGTGTACACAGAAGGAAATATTCATCCTAACAGATAGACAAGCTGCTATTAAAGCTCTCCGAGGGCCACACTTTACATCATTACTGGCTAGGGAGTGTGCCGAAATCGTCAACCAGCTGGGGAGAGACCAGAACATACTGGCATTTATGGTAATGAGAGAACTGACTACCTTGCAACCTGACAGTCAGACCCATTTCAAATCTTAACAACAGTCTATAGGACTGCCCTACAGGCCTGGATTAGACGCCAAGACTCAGTTGAAGGACTGTAGACTGGCACGGGAACTGATAAATGGCCCAGATCTTAGGTTTGGGAAAGCTCTCATTGCCCTAACAAGGGAAATTTTAAGCACACTGGTTGGAGTCCCAACTGGGCACAATCTGCAAAACCACCACAAAATGGTGATGGGACTTCATGACAATGGTCTGTGTGACGCATGGGTGTTAATGTGAATTAGAGACCTCTTTGCACTTCTTAGACCACTATGGATCCTGAGAAGCTCAGAACACTGAGTGTTTCTGGCCTTCATCCGAGGGATGTGAAGATTTGAATAAAGACCAGTGTCGTTTTGGGGAGAGCAATGGGCCCACTTACATGGCCCTTGCTGGGTTCTTCATCCATGCCCACTCACCATAAACCATAAATGTAGGCCGAAGTGTTTTTGACATGCTTACCTTCATGTCCTCTCCACTGGCAGGATGGCTCACGTTGTCTTCAAAGGCCACTTTGAGTTGAGTCTTTTCCTTAAGGTTCATTTTGTGGGACTCAGTCTTCACCACGCCTCCACCTGCTGCACACAAGTGTATCAGCCTGACACCCATACTCTTATATGAACAGATATGTGATTATCCAGTGTATTAAGGTGCAAGTAGAGAGCAGATACAGCTTCTACTTCAGCCGTTATGATGACAAAAAAATGTTTGGCACATTATACAACAAAAGAATAAGAAAATTTATTTACTTGCAGTAAATGTTGGAAAATGTGAAACGTTTTTTTTTGTTTAAGCTGCAGATTAAAACAGAGCAAAACAAAAATATCTGCAAAGAGACAAACTGCATCTCAACTAATGCAGCAGCTTCGGAACACATGGCTCACCAGGCTTGTCCTTGATGCCGTTCTTGGAGCCACACTTTGACGTCACCTTACTCACATCCACCTTCTTGCTTAGTGTTTGCACCTGTTGAGTGTCAGAAATAATTATTGTGTGAATGCTGAGTCAACGTGGAAGGAATACGAAACGTGAATCTACCAAGAGCAGGCAGTCTTCACCAAGAGTTATCACGCAGAAATCTGAATAGTTAGAAAGACCACAGAGACACCTGTGACCACTTTGAAGTATTTTTGAGTTTCAGCAGCTGAAATGGGAGACAGTGAATACAACAGTGTGTTTTTTGCAGACAACATCAGACTGTCAACCAGGAAGTTCCACTGAGCCTTCTACATGCGGTTTGGCAAAATCTAGTTGTTTTCCTTGCCAGCGGCATTATCTCCCATATGAACAATCTCTCTCATCTCCTCTGCTGAAGCTCCTGGGGATGTTTTTGGGCTTGGATTTTTTTACTCCATTCCCAGACTGACCCTTGGTGTAACATCTATCAGTTCGGAAAAGGGAGTTTAATGATGACTAATAAACATGTAGAGAAAGGAGAAATCACAGACTTTGATAGATATTGTGTGCTTAAAGAAAAGGAAATCTGTATGTAACACAGTGGGACATACCTTCGCTCCAACTGGCTGCTTTGTGTTGCTTGTAGAGCCAATCTTAGAGCGGACATTGGAGTTACTGGAGGCCGGGGCTGTGCTGGGTCGACCTGTGGGCTTTGAGGCGGTGGTTGTTGTGGTAGATGTGGCTGATGCAGTGGGTCGTGGATTGTGGGGCACCAAGAGCTTCTTCTCAGTGGAAACTGATTTGGCTGCTGTGGTTCGAATGCTTGAGGCAGCAGAAGTCGTGTTGCGTGTGGCGGTAGTCGCTGGCTTGGGTCTGCTAGAGTAAGCTTAAAAAAAGAGAGAGCATTATACAGAGCTTATTTGAGTTTCTTTGCTTAAATTAAAACCTCAGTGTTCAGATAATCTCAGATTATAAAAATGATGAAGCATTTACACAGAATTGTTCATGGCAACTTATTTCTATTGAGTTATTTCTTAGTTATGCTGCTATAGACTTAGACTGCTGGAGCACAAATTGAACACATTTCCTCACTATGTTGTTGTCTTTAGTCTCTCTTCTCTACATGTTTATTGTAATTATTTCTATCAGTAACGTGTTTTTCCTTTTCTTTCTTCCAGAGTAAAATACACCTGGACCAGTCCTTCCGTGTTTCTGCATCTTTTTCCTGTTCCAGCAAACCCAGCCGGTCGAGGCAGATGGCTGCCTGTCCTGAGCCTGGTTCTGGTTCTGGTTCTGCTGGAGGTTTCTTCCTGTTAAAAAGGAGTTTTTCCTCTCCACTGTCACCAATATGCTGCTCAGGATGGGAGACTGTGATGAAGTGAAGATTCAACACAATCTGCTGGCTTCTTTAGACTGATAATGTTTACTAATTGGTTTTATAATGTAAGTGAATATTTCTGGACAGTGCCCTGAAATAATGTTCGTTGTGACTTGGTGCTTTATAAATAAACTGAATTGAATGAAAGAGTCTGACCAGGTAAACATTTTAAAAATAATTTTGAGAAGTCAAATATGTGACCCAGTTAGCAGTGAGAAGCAGAAACAGACTTAACTATTGTTGTCGAATCAGGCTACACTGTAAATATTGTTAACCTATAACAATTTAAAGTACTTCGGTGTAGTAATACCTGTTGAAGTCTTAAGAGTGCTGACCTGCTTCCTTTCTTCTGGCTTGCTGTCTGTTCTAGTGCCTGAAACACACATTTTCAGACAGTTGGTGAATGAGATAAAAAAAGAAAAAAATATGCAAAAACATTCATGTAGACTTGTGATTTTCAACCATTGTGCACTGTAGTGCACTGTAAGAGGTTGTCAGATATGAAGTGGAAAACTATCCAGTTTTACTTAAATGGTCCAAAAATATTCAGTTACAGCAAATATTTTAAGAGTGTTGAATGGCTGTAGCATCTCCAAATGTTTTGCTGTCTATTAACCTAATTAGTTGCAAAATGCTCCTCTAGTTGTTTCTTATTAAAGCAACATTTTTTACAGCCTTTTGTTGCCTCCATCTAATCATTGTGGAGATCTGTTGCCTACATCAAATTCAAAACTCTTTTCACCCCAAGATAAATACTTCCATTTCATGAATATTTGATATGTTTAATATGTCCTACTGTCAATAAACTATGGATTTATGAGATCTGCAAATCATTCCATTCAGTTTTGCAATTTACACAATGTTCCAACATTTTCATAATTACAGTTGTAAAATATTTTTTTTTTTCAAATATTCAATGCAAATAGGACAAATGTCACACTGGATAGTTGAAATAATCATTTTCACTAAAACAAATGTATATGCTCTGAAGATTCTGTTGAACTATTATAAAATGCCTGTAAAAACTATACAACCTCTTGGATGTTTTACAATTTCACTGCTGTCATTACAAGTCAATCATTGTCAACTTAAATAAATAAATAAATAAATAAATAAATAAATAAATAAATAAATAAATAAATAAATAAACGTCAATATGAAACCAAATTTCTACAAAGTAATACACGTTAAATAAAAATGTCATGTAAACTAAGTGACTGCATTCAAATTAACTTCCTTTAAAGGAGGGATATTTTGCAAAATCTACTTTGTTAGCTCATGTTATAATGTCATTCCCTTATCAAAAACATACCCAGAGTGTTGCTTTGAGTGTCGCATGTTTGAGACATTTTTGAATATCCTGTGGGTAGCTGTGTGGAGCTGCCTAAACACTTGCTGGTACAAAGCCCTGCCTATTTACACAAAGCTCCTCCCTGGAGCTCAGTCTGCGTCCGGGCTCCTGGCAATCTCTACCGCTAAGCATTGTTGTAAAGATGTGCTGAAGTGGGAGTGTCTGAAATGGTAGATGGTTCTTTAAAGAGAAAGATGCCAATTTCAAGGTAGTTGGCTAAATCCTGATGCAAAGTTAAATTTACTTTTGATACATACAGCATTTTCATAAAAATTTAAGGTAACAGTTACTTGATTGTGGTATAGAATTGAACTACATGCCTGTAAAATACATAATACCCACATCCCACATGTTACTGTTCAAAATCCATAAGAAGTCCAAATCAGTAGATGGTTATAAAATATTATCCAAGGAAACCCCGAATATCCTAAGGATTTCTATACCACTGTCAAGAAATGGAAATAACATGGGACATGTACTGCGTGACCGAGCAAGCTGGAGAATAGTGAAAGAAACCACCAAGACACCTGTGAGCACTCTGAAGGAGTTACAAGCTTTAACAGGTGAGATGGGAGAGACTGTGAATATAACTATTACCTCGGTTCTTCTTCAGTCTGGGCTTTATGAGAGAGTGGCATTTTGTTTAGAAGCTGTGGTCAAGATTTATTAAAAGTTTTCTTCAACAGTAGCTTTGTCTTTGCCAGTCTCTCATAAGTAAGGAACATGTATGTAATTTAATACCATTTCTATTTTACAACCAGTTTTTGGGATAAGCTTCTCAAGCATGACTGTTATTAAAAGTAAAAACATAGGAACACTGGGAGCTGTTCAAAAAGAGCTTTGACAAGAATTCCTGTCAGGGTATCCAATTTGCAATGATCAAAACAAATAATGGTTATATAATCAAGCAAACAAATTAAGCAAAATTCTTTATCGATGATTTGTCCTCTTCAAACATTTTGGTTCACGTTGTGCTATTGGATGAAACATAAACCAAGCCTCAAAAAAGGCTAAAAAACATTGATGAAGATCAATAAAACGGGATGTACCTAGAGGCCTTTTGATTGCAGCGTTGGAAGTTGCGACAGTAGATGAAGTTGTGCGCATCGATGAAGCAGTGTGAGTTGCTGCTCTGTTAGCAGAGCCATTTTTGATGGTTTGACTTGTAGTTACACTGCTGGCTTTTGGCATCAAGGGGTTCTTCTCTGGGACTGTCTGTAAAGGGAGAAGACACAAAAAGAAACAGATTTTAGGGTTTTTAGGAATGAAAAGGCTGATGTTGACGAACAACCACGAGCAGGAAATAAACCCAACACTGTTAGAATTACTCCTGTACTCCTGTGTGATGCTGTTATTATAGAGCTCTGAATTACTACAAACAAAAACTGAGACCTCTTTAGGTTTACATAGTAAGCATGTTATCGTCAGTTTCCCTGATGATAAAGTACCGGTTAGAAGTGCTAGGGTAAAAGTTAGTGTCACAACATTCCAGTTATACCTTGTTAAAAAAAACAGAATATCTGTCAACAAAGCAAAACCATGTTTATGTGTAAACAAAGAGTCTTTTGTGTGTGAAAATGTTGCCTGCTGTATTTCTAAATGGCAACAGAACATGAAAAAAAAAAATCTTACAGCAGCCGTCAATCTGTTGAGTCTTTGATTTACTATGTAAATGTTTACTGACTTTGCATAGAATTGTAGGTCAGATTTAGTCACCATTTTGTAGATGGTCATGAACAACAACATTTACAAATTAAGTTGCATATGCATTAAAAAAATAAAAATAACTACAACCTTTTTCTGTTTTTGTCATCAGGAAGAGGGGTTACCGGACCAGAGATGCACAAACCTGTTTCAGACTAAAAGGAGCACTGTTACTAACTGAAGCCTATTCTTTATTACAAAAATGGATTTGTTATTGAGCGTTTAACCAAACTGAACTTTGACCATAGAAAGCAGGCTGTGTCACACTCATAAAGATAAAACTGTATTTAAACAGTCCTCCACTGACAGTAGTAGGCTCCTTTACCAGCCTGGATTACACACCTCTTCCTTGCTGCTTCTTTCTCACAAGCAATGGTTTTGCAAACACTTGCTTTTTGTTAGCAACACATATTTAGGCTTAAGAGGTCCCTATCACTTACCTTGGCTTTAACAGCATGTGTAGTTGTGGAGGGCTGGGATGATGGACGACTGGTGGAGGTGGGAGGGAGCTTTCTACTAAGCCCAGCAGTAGTTGCTGTTAATGGTACTCTGGGTGTTGGCTTTTTGTCTTTGGTGCTGGTGGCCACTAAGGGTGCGGGACATTTAGTGGTGGCTGTAGCAGAACCACCGACAGCTGTAGTGTTTGGCCGGCTTTTGGTAATGCTGCCTGGTCTGGGCGCCCCTGTTGTAGGCTTTAACATTTGATGGACAAAAAAACAAATGTCAAAACAAAAGAAAAACAAAATAATATTGACAGCAGGCTTAAGCAGAATAAGCAGCAACTGAGGCAAAAATAAGGGTTTTGAAGCAACATGCATAAAGATAAAATTTGTATGACTGAATATCTACAGAAAAAGAAAAAATGGAATGATTCTTTGCATAAATGTAAAATAGGTAAACTTAATAACTGAATGAAAAGCTATGCACATGATGAATGGGGTACATTAATTGTAATATTTGTTTAATGTTAGAAACACTGTTTATTCTTAAATGCTAATTAGAACCTATTTTATATAATCTGAAGAAAAAGAACTCATGGTCTACATAATGCAGATGCCTTTACTACAGTATTTAACACAACAAGCAATGAAATTTGTGTTTGGTAGGATATTTTTTTGTTGTAACAATACTTCTTGGTAATAAATCTTATAGTGAGCACCTGATTGGAAGCACTTGGGGGGACCAGAAGCTCAAAACAAGTGTGATTATCAACATCAAAATAAACTGTTTGGCAGAGATAATTTGGTAAATTTATCATGTGCATTGGACTTGTATTCTGTGCCTTAGAAAAATGGAAACTGTGGTTTCTTAGAGATGCATGTCTTAAAGCAGTCTCACATTACTGATCATTCCTGATCCAGTGTGGGAGTTCTGAAAGGTGGAAAAAACTAAACTTGAAAATTTTAAATCTTTGAGCTTTTACATTATTAGTAATTATTATTTGAAAATAAAGGTCAATTAAGGACAATATATTGCTCACCACCTTTCATGCCAGAATTTTAAACTAAAATAAGAGATGTAGTTATTGATGTTTTGGTCAAACCTGGTAAATTATGTTTGGCACAGTTTTATGTAACATGAGGAAAACTCACAAGATGTGCTTTCACTCAGATTTCCAGGGGTATTTCAGATTTGCACGACAAATCAAACCATATCTCTGGGGCCTCTCATGACATTAAGATGATCTTGGTATCAAAATGTAGCTTTGTTCATTTTGACCAAATTTGACTTAACCCTAATTTCGATGTAATGGGTCACATTTACTTTAAAATCTGGAAACTCACAAAGCTATTCTTAGTTTAAAGAAATTAAACACAAACACACACACATACAGGCATGACAAAACCATTATCAACTTCTATCTTCATCAATAATTATTCCTACCTTTGTCTTCTTGTCTGCACCTATGGGCTCTTTGCTTGCTGTTATGCTGCTTCTGGCTGCAGGTCTTGCAGGTATTTTGGCTCTTTCTACATTTGCTTTTACTTCTATTTTTTTCTTGTCATCTTTCTTCTCTATAGGCATTTTGTCCTGCTTCTCCTGTTTAACCTTCAGTGCTCCTTTGCTCACAGGTCTCTTAGGTGGCCCACCGACCTCATTTGCCTTCACCATAGCTTTGGCTTGGTTTGTGGCAACCTTTACTTTTTCTGTATCCTTCACCTCAGTTTTTGCCTGTTTCTCTACATCAGGCTTCTTTTCCATTTTGTCATGAATGGCATCATTCTTGACTAATGAAGGCTGTAATTTTGTTTCCACATTGTCAACGTGATGCTTATCACCAGCCTCCACCTCTGTTTTCTGTTTCTTCTCGTTTTCGTTGATCTTAACAACCTTCTCTCCTTCCTCTGATATTTTGGTTTCTACTTTTGTTTCTTCCAGGTTAAACTTCTCATTTTGGTCTACCTCCTCAACATTTCCAGCTTTAGTTTCTTCCACTTTGGGCTCCACATTTTCAATTATTTCTATCTTATTATCTTTGTCCTCTATCTTGTGTATTTTCTCAATGTCTCCAACCTTCTCTGTCTTGTCCTCTTCTTTAAGCTTTTTGTCCTCTTCTTTTGTTTCCTGATGAATTAATTCCACTTTCTTCATTTCCTTCTCCTTTACATTTTCAGTGTCATTTTTTAGATCTATCTTTTCTGCTGGTTTCTCTGCCTCTTTTGCTTTGTAGGCATGTTGTGCTTCTTTAACCTTTTCTGCCTCCTGATCCTTCACTTTCTCCTGGACTTCTACCTCTTTTTCCCCTCTGGCTACAGTTTGTTGTTCTGTGAATTCAACTTTCACACTGTTCTGCTCAACTTTGTTTAAGGTATGAAATGGCTTCAACTTGACCATACTGTCCTCTTTTCTTTCCTCCTCCTTCTCAGTTTCCTCCATTCTTTCCTCCTTCTTCTCACTTTCCTCCAGTTTTTCCTCTTTCTTCTCACTTTCCTCCAGTTTCTCCTCTTTCTTCTCAGTTTCCTCCAGTTTTTCCTCGTTCTTCTCAGTTTCCTCCAGTTTTTCCTCGTTCTTCTCAGTTTCCTCCAGTTTTTCCTCGTTCTTNCTCCAGTTTTTCCTCGTTCTTCTCAGTTTCCTCCAGTTTTTCCTCGTTCTTCTCAGTTTCCTCCAGTTTTTCCTCGTTCTTCTCAGTTTCCTCCATTCTTTCCTCTTTCTTCTTAGTTTCCTCTATTTTTTCCTTATCCTCAGTTTCCTCCATTCTTTTCTCTTTCTTCTCAGTTTCCTCCATACGTTCCTCCTCCTTTTCTGTTTCCTCCATATTGTTACATTTTTCTGAAGAAAAAACAAACTGTTTAGGAATGGTGATGCATTTATTTCTAGGAGATACAGTAGGGTGCGAAAGTTTGGGCAGCCGTGTTAATTTTTCTTATTTACCTTTTTAAATAATTGTTTGGATAAAAAAAAACTGTTCAATAGATCATATAGGGTACAAACATAGTAACATATGAGAAGTGAAATGATGATGATATGGTTTACAGAAAGTGTGCAATAATTGGTTAAACAAAATTAGGCAGGTGCATAAGGTCACAAAAAATAAACAAAAAAAAAAAAAACCTTAACTCAATATTTAGTAGATCCTCCTTTCACAGAAATAACATTCTCTAAACACTTCCTACAACTTCTAATGAGAGTCTGGATTGTGGCTGAAGGTATTTTAGACCACTCTTCTTTACAAAACATCTCTAGTTCTTTCAGGTTTGATGGTTTCCAACCACAGACAGCTCTCTTTAAGTGACACCACAGATTTTCAATAATATTCAGGTCTGGGGAGTGAGATGGCCATTCCAGAACATTGTACTTGTTCCTCTGCATGAATGCCTTAGTAGAATTTGAGCAGTGTTTAGCGTGGTTGTCTTGTTAGAAGATCCAGCCCTGGCTTCAGCAGCTTCAGCTGTGTCGCTGATTCCTGGACATTGGTCTCCAGAATCTGCTGATATYGGTTGGAATCCATGCGTCCCACAACTTTAACAACATTCCCAGTCCCTGTACTGGCCACACAGCCCCACAGCATGATGGAACCACCGCCATATTTTACTGTAGGTAACAGGTGTTTTTCTTGAGTGCTGTGTTCTTTTTCCTCCATGCATAATGGCCCTTGTTCTGCCCAAATAACTCTGTTTTAGTTTCATTAGTTCACAGCACCTTATTCCAAAATGAAGCTGGCTTGTCCAAATGTGCTTTAGCAAACCTCAAGCAGCTCTGTTTGTGATGTGGGCGGAGAAAAGTCTTCCTCTGCATCACTCATCCATACAGCATCTCCTTGTGTAAAGTGTGCTGAATAGTTGAACGATGCACAGTGACTCCATCGGCAGCAAGATGATGTGGGTCTTTGGTGCTGGTCTGTGGGTTGACTCTGACTGTTCTCAACATCCTTCACTTCTGTTTATTGGAGATTTGTCTTGGTCTGCCACTTTGATCCTTGACTTGAACTGTGCCTGTGGTCCTCCATTTTCTCACAATGTTTCTCACAGTGGAGACTGAAAGCTGAAATCTCTGAGATAGCTTTCTGTATCCTTCCCCTAAACCATGACGGTGAACAATCTTTGTTTTCAGCTCATTTGAAAGTTGTTTTCAGACCCCATGCTGCGACTCTTCAGAGAAGATGCAAAGAGGAGAAAAATGTACAATTGCCCCCCTTAAATACCCTTTCTCATAATTGGAGTCACATGTGTATGAAGGTCAAGGGTCACTGAACTTACCAAACCAAATTTAAGTTCCAATAATTACTTCTAAAGGATTTGAAATCAATAAAATAACAACAACGCCCAAATTTACACACCTGCATAATTTTGTTTAACCAGTTATTGCACACTTTCTGTAAATCATTTAAACTTCATTTCACTTCTCAAATATTACTGTTTGTCCCCGATATGATATATTTAACAGATTTTTTATCCAATCAATGATTTATAATGGTAAATCAGGAAAATTAACAAGGCTGCCCAAACTTTCAGACCCCACTGTAAAACAAATACCATTTATGATGTTATTGTTTCCCTGTGATCATTAAAAAATAAAACAAATAAAAAAATCACAAAGCCACATTAAAATGAGACTCACCTATGATGGGGAAGCACCCAGGGCAGCAATAATGACATAGAAAATAAAACAGACAAGATACCAATTACAATTCTAATATAACTTTTTAAGCATGAAATAAGACACAGTAGGAAGTAAAATCCTGATTTGTAAAACAAATGTTGCATTAAAAATGACAGCCACAAAGCACGTTTTCAAGTAGAACTTACAGAGAAATGGAAACTACAGCAGAGAGCAGTGGTGAGCAGCACTAATCTAAAAGTTAGTTCCACTATCCCTAAAGCACTAACTCAAATATTTAGGTCCCCTAATTCTAAAGCAATAACACACCGATAGCCATGTTATTCTTTTAAGACTTATCATTGACATTCCACGGCCGTATTTGAGTTCATATATTGTCAACATATTGTGACCTGGTGGATAAGTGACACACATCTGAACAAAATGTGCAACAGCTTGCACCGTCAATGTTCAATATGTTCAATAACATTTAAAGACCTCAGTTAGTGCTTCTAAATTTAGCCTATAAATTTAGCAAGTGATAATCCACTAATAAATTTTAAAATTAGCAAAAGCCCTAAAGCACTAATCAAGAAATTAGTTCCCCTATTAGTGCTCTAGGGGAACTGTGCCCACCACTGGCAGAGAGGATAAAAACAATTGGAAGATAATATCAAATATCTGGATGTTTGAAGTCATCAAAACATAGACATTTTATGTAAAAGGAGAACAGTATACCATTTCAACAAGACCTTGGACAAATAAAAGGAAATATTCATCAGTAAGGGGCATAAATATGTGATTAGTTAGTGGTTGCACACCCATAAACATTTAGTGTGTTAATTAAGAGGGAATCCACACAGTGCATCCTTGGATAAACATAAGCGTTAAGTTTAAGCCAATCTAAAACCTCATTGGCCAAACCCCGTCCATGTTCTAGTCCCTTATAAAAAAGTTAAAATCAGCCAGAGTGAAGATGTGTTCATACAAGAAAAAGTACAAGTGAATTTCAAAATGGGTATATCAAACCCCTGATTAGTGAAAAAAAAATAAATAAAACACACACACACAAGCAATTAATTCAGCCCAACACTGGAACTACTCAAGCTGGTTGAAAGCATCATGCATGGCAACCATTTGATTGTATCTCTGGGTTGCCCTAGGTACTGTTACTGTGATTAGGGCCAACTAAAACCAACCTTTCATGATGGGTACAACTTCAGGCATCACATCTAGGTATTCCATCGGATCAGCAAAGCTGGGAAAGAAAGGCTTAGCTGTTGGATTAAGACCAGATCCAGATACACTAAGAGTGGACTCTGACTGAGGAGATGTGGGGGCAATGACATCAGATGACTGTGGAGACAATGTCTTAGCTTCTGGTGGAGTAGAACTCATATCAGATGATGGTGAGCACAAAACGGGTGTTTTTTGGGATGGCATCTGGACTGCATTCTTGTGCTTAGGTTGGAATTCTGGTGCAGTAGTTTTGGGAGAGCGGAGAGGTGCTGGGCTTGGTGTGTTAAAGGACAGACCCGGAGCTCCTATATTACTGAAGTCAAAAGACTCTTGCCATGAAGCGTCAGAAAATGATACATGTGGGCCTGAAGCAAACAAGTCAACAGGTGGGGAATGGCCTAAACTTGTCTTTGAGGCAGAGCTGAAAGCTGATGTGTCACTCTCAGACATGTCTTGTATGGAAGATTCCAGGTATAAACTGGTAGGGTCTACAATGTTGCCACCGGCTTCTTTACTTTTTGAAAAGGAAGGTGAGTAAAAAGATTGTTCGGTGTGACCCAGGCTGGCATCTTCAGGATCTACTAAAAGGTCAAATGAATCACTAGAGGAAGTAGCGACGGGGAAGGATCCAGGCATTGTTGTTTTGGTAGGGAATGGCAAAGTAAAGGGAGCTGCAGTGGCTTTAAGCTCACTGCCTAGTGCCAATGGACTGATGCCTCCAGCTGTTGTGGGGAAACAATCTTCAGACAAACGCTGAGAAAATGAGCCTTCTTCTGAATGGACCTCCTTTTTATAGGGGTTTTGGTTCAGGTCTCCCTGATTTATCATCACCTCTTCAGTATTTTGTGAGGTTGCCTCAGAAGCTGGTATAAATGATTCTGCAGTCACTCCCCATTCCTCTGGAAGCTTCTTTCTGCTTTTACCTCTTTTCCCCCGGCCTCTGTTCCTTCCAAGTTGATCATCCCAGCCTGCTCCTCCTTTATCCCTTCTTGGATCAATTCTATGGTAGAACCCTTCAGATGGAGAAGTGTTTTCTTCCATTTCCAGTTGGCCCCTGACCTCAAGGTGTTCATGAGATCCCCCATCTTTCTGTCGTCGTCTTTTCTTTTTTTTCTGTTTTTGGTCTGATCCGTTTACGTCTCTTTCGTCAACTTCAGCATGCACAGCACTCTCGTGGATATGACAGCTGTAAAGTGGATTATCAGGGCTGGCTGCAATATGGCCTGGTTGTTTAGCAAAACCCATGGAAACACTTGGCATGAAAAGTGGGTCTGTTGAAAGGCTGCCAGATTGGTTTGACCGACACTCACCTAAGGCACCTTGTGGGTGAAGAGAGAAAAATTTAAAGTTGAATATATAGCTGTGAAAATGTACATATGCACTGGTTCCATAAATTTAACTCAAAAAGATGACAGAAACTTGAGATCACATAAAAATGAACAGACAATATTACCTTTGCATCATTAATATTTAGTGAATAACACTTCAAGTCGTCCTGATACATCTCAGTAATCCAGGTAAAAAATCAAAAAGAAAAAAATTGTATAGGTCTTCTGGACGGGTTCTTCTCTAATGAAACATTTCGTCTCTCTTCCAAGAGACTTCTTCAGTCTGAGAGTTTCAGGCAAAATTCAGGCTTTTAAGCCCTGCCTCCATGTGACTGATACTCACATCACATGGCTATCATTGACACCCAATTAACTTTTATTGTTAACAGGGGGTGGAGTGATACTGGCAATAGCAGCGCTGTAGGAGGGGGACAACTGAAAACGGAGGCCTCCACCTCTGTTTAATGATGGATGGTCTTTCTTCACAAAAATGGCTTCTTTTACTCATCTCTCGAGCCATTGGTTCAGATATGTTGACAACACCTGGGTTAAAATTAAAGCCCAGGAAGTCCAACATTTCACTGATCACATCAACTCTGTGGATGAATATATTAAGTTCACACGAGAGGATGTAAAAAATGGCAGGTTGGCGTTCCTGGATTGCGATGTCTCGGTTTCGGATGGAGGATGGTTGGAAACTGGCGCATATCGTAAGCCCACCCACACAGACCAATATTTGYGTTTTGACTCCCACCACCCACTGGAACACAAGTTAGGAGTGATCAGGACTCTGTACCACAGAGCAGACAGTGTCCCTACAAACCCAGGAGCCAGGGAGAAAGAGAAATCACACACACGACAGGCCCTGGAGCAGTGTGGTTATCCTGACTGGGCTTTCCTGAAAGCAGACAGGAAACACAGACAGGATTCCATGCAACCTTCAGGTGAAAATGAAGACCCCAAACCCAGACCTAAACCAGTGGTTATTCCATATGTTGCGGGTGTTTCGGAGAAACTGAGACGTTTATTTTCTAAACATGATGTCCCAGTGGCTTTCAAACCCCAAAACACATTATGGCAAAGGCTGGTTCACCCCAAAGATCCGGTGCCCTGGCACAAACAGAGCAATGTTGTATATGCTGTTAAGTGCCAGGAGGACTGCGACCAGTTATACATCGGGGAAACAAAGCAGCCACTGTTCAAAAGAATGTCCCAACACAGACAAGCTACATCTAATGGCCCGAACTCTGCAGTTTTCACTCATTTATAGGCCAGCGGTCACTCTTTCAGAGACGAGGATGTTCTCATTCTTGATAGAGAGGAACGTTGGTTTGAGAGAGGAGTAAAAGAAGCCATTTTTGTGAAGAAAGACCGTCCATCATTAAACAGAGGTGGAGGCCTCCGTTTTCAGTGTTCCCCCTCCTAGAGCTTTGCTATTGCCAGTATCACTCCACCCCCTGTTAACAATAGGTGTTAATTAGGTGTCAACAATAGCCATGTGATGATGTGAGTATCAGTCACATGGAGGCAGTGCTTAAAAGCCTGAATTTTGCCTGAAACTCTCAGACTGAAGAAGTCTCTTGGAGGAGAGACGAAACGTTTCATTAGAGAAGAACCCGTCCAGAAGACCTATACAATTTTTTTCTTTTTAACACTTCAAGTCTCTAAATACAGTAAGATGATCATTTATATTGGGTGAGTTTACAAAAAGGTTAGAAAGTGACAAAACTGACTTAACTACAAAGAGAAGTTTCTTATAGGATTGAACCCAAATTTACATGGAGTCCATGAAGTTACAGAGAGCTTGTCACCATATCACCATTTAGGATATATCACTATAACTCTTGTGGTTACATATCGCTTCCATTTATCTGTTACAAGAAAATAATTTTGGTAATCTGAAAGTTAAACCAAAATAAAATAATCACCAATATCCACCACAATAGATCTAAAACAAATTGTATTTACAAAATGGCCAACCCTGCCCAGCTACTGACTGATTGACCAACCATAACCCCTATGTAAAATATTGATGTACTATACAAAAATGAATGCATTTAGCATAACCCTCAATTTATTTGCTCCCTCTTAGTCTATCCAGCATCCTTACCTACTAGGTCACTGTGAAATGCAATCAAACAAAGCCACGTATCTTGAAGGACAGTCACAGCCATAGTTAAATCTTTAATATACTCTGTTACTCCCCAATGGGGAAATGTAGCCAGCTTGAACTGAATTGAATCTAACTTATATAACAAAGCTACCCATGCAGTTTTAAAGCTTTAAGTCCACACTCTCCAGTTTTTTGTTTTTTTTGAAAACACTCCCTAGAATGGAAGCAAAACTTCAACAGAAAAAAGTCTAGTTGTTTTGTTGTTTAATTTTTTTGGTCAAAAAGAAAAAATAAGTAGGTCCTCTGGATGGGTTCTTCTTTAGTGAAATGTTTTGTCTCTCCTCCAAGAGACTTCTTCAGTCAGACTGAAGAAGTCTCTCACGTTTCACTAAAGAAGAACCCATCCAGAGGACCTACTTATTTTTTTCTTTTTGATTTTTTTCTACCTGGATTATTGAGATGCATCAGTACAATTTTTTTAGCTTTACCATGGTCTGAGTGACTGACAACCTACACAAGCATAACTACAAATTCAATTCAAAATATGTTTTTGATCCCAAAGTGAAATTACGTAACCAGGTCCTGCAGAGGAAATGACAGTTTATACGGTATGGTTTATGTTTTTATTTGGTGCAACTTGGGAACTTGTGATGCACTTGTGAATGGTATCTGTTTAGGTAATATAATTGTTGGAACTAAAGAATAAACCCCTTAAGGCTGCTTAGAAAAGCAATCAATTGTTATGAGAAAACAAAATGCAATCAGCAATAAAAACTTGTGCTGTATTTTAAAATAAAACGAGATAAAAAAAAAAAGAAAAAAAGTTACACTTGAAGACTCTCGGTAAGTGATAATGTATTTTAAGACAAAGGAGAAATTAATTATTGAACCATATGAATTAATAAGAATGATTTACCTTCTGTCAGATCCAGAGGAATATGAGGTGTCTGGGGTTCAGGTAGCGCTGGGCTGTACTCTTGTGGAGTACATGCCACTGCTGGGAGTGTGGGATGCTGAAGATCTGACATATTTGAGGCTTTCTCCACTTGAAGTGGGGTGTCTCCTACCAACATATTCACTTCCATTCCTTCAGAGTGTGAGAACCCTAGAAACAATGGCAAACAAACAGCTACACAATATTAGCACTGCAGATTCTTTGCGTTTCTATTACAGATAAGACTAAAAAATGACAGTGAGGCTCAACAATTTGACCAAAAGCTTTTTAACGCTTTTTAACGCTCTTTTAATCACTATAGTAATGTTTAAATCAAGATTTATTCAATGCAGTGGTGGACTGTGGTTTACACACATTGGTCCTCTGATCATTGTTCCCTCACTGTAATAAATAAAACAAACAAAAAACTAACAAATGTTTTCACATAATCCAACAGAAGAAGACGTAACTAAATTATTAGTTGAATTATTCATCCTTAGAACAAAAATATAAGATAAATGCACTTTAGAGGTTGTAAAAGTCTTTCAGTCATGCAAGTATTGTTTGACGACAATGGACCAAAGCAAAAAATGAAACACACAAAACCAATTAAAAGTGTTTCCATACATACTATTCACATATTTGAGCTGAATATCCAACACATAGGAAACATTTTCTTTCATATTCATTGACCACATATGAACAGCAACTCATGAACTGGAGAAAACAGTCATTACAGATCATTTAGGTTTAAAATTAATAAAATAAAATATGACCAGGAGCTTAATAAAAAAAGACTGATGTTAAGAATAATGGTCACAATCCCAAAAAAACTAGGCTCGTAATTGTTCAGTACTCCTTTCATTTTCAGCAATGGATTGAGCAGTGCTTTGTGAGTGGTTTTGAGCTTTGAATACCGTTTTCTTTAAGCCAATTCTGCTTTAAAATTATCAGCAACTTTATCCCCGACTTGCCTGGTGTGTTCCCTGAGCTACATATGCAGTTTGATCATTAATGTTCTGCATCCAACCTTTGAGGCATTTACAGAACATCTGTATTTACACACAGGTGGACTCCATCAATTATTTTAACTCGCTTTGTCCTTTCTGAGTCACTTGTGCCCAAGTTCTGCAGTCGCTGTGTGAGAGGTGCGGTACACCCTGCCTGGACAGATTGCAACTAATTGGGTGACTTTTGAAGGCAATTGGTTATACTGGATTGTAGTTAGACCTATCAGAAGGGGTTAAATATAACTACACACTGTGATGTATTCTCAACTAGCAGGCTTTGGGGTTTTAGAGGACATGTTCTTGGTTTGTGAAGTGTTGTATGAAGGCAAAAAGTGGATGTGTTAGCAGTCAGTTTATGTTTCCTTCTCACAAGATTCCAGATTTTATTTGTAAAAGAAAAAAAAAAACATATCAAAGATCATTTTCCTTTCATTTTACAACTATAAACTGCTTTGCATTGGTTTGTCACATAACATTCTAGTCAAACACCGCTAACCAGGTCTGCACTGTTTTCACTAAAATCTTCAACCAGTCTCTTGAACGAGCTGCAGTTCCTGTCCCCTAAAATGTACACTTGACATTAAAGTTAAATGAATTTAAAAAATGTAATTAAAACAAAATTGGACACAACAACAGAAGATAAGTTTTTAAAATGTTCATTTTGTATGTAGTCAAATGTGAAGAGTTTTATAGTCAACAAGATGTACCTTTTACTGAAAGTTAACCAAAACTGACCTCCTTCTGAAGATGTGTACTAAACCTGTCATACTGGTAACCTAGCCACATTTAGAGAAAAACCTTTTTGATTCTTAAAAAAATAAATAAATCAATTTCAGTTTAATATATCTGAACGGGAAATTTCACTTAAAACTACAGATGTCATGTCTCCAACTCTATGCATGCTTGACCCTACTCTCCCCAATCAGCAATCACCCTTGCCATTACTTTGACTCCTTGCTCTCCTATGATCATCATCAGATCCTCTGCTAATACTGGTTATGTCTAGCTCCCTGTTTTTTTGTTTGGCTGGTTTTCTTGTCTGCCAGTTTTGTTATTAAAAACTATTTGGAATCCCAAACCAGCCACCTATTTCTGCTCACTATCCACCAAAGAGACATTTGCCTATTTCAGCTAGGAGAAGAGGAAGAAAAGCCAAAAGACAGGTAAATGTGTGTCATATATATATTTATTAGTATAACATTGACGATGACAAAATAAACAGGAATGATTATAAAAAGGTGCAGATTTGATAACATGGAACTAATAAAATAGAACCTTTGTGAGACACAAAATGATTACAAAAAAATCAAGAAACAAATCATCTATAGATAGCTCAAAGACAAAAGTATATAGATTATTTTCCCAATTTCTGTGAATCACTCACTTTTCACATTTCAATGCCTGTAAAGGTACTGTCCATCACTTTACACCTATAGGACTAGCACACAGCCTGCAAAATACACAGGCAAACTCAACAAATATAACACGCTCAAGTACAAATCTCACTTAATAATGTGATTTGTAATGACAGAAAAAAACTTTGGTCATATTAGTGTGTGCATGCCACAAATACGACAAGACATCATTTCCAGTATATTGTTTTTGAGCTATTTATAGGACCAACGTAATGCTGGAAGTGAAGGGACGTTTTACTGTGAAAGTCAAAAGTAAAACAGAAGTACATGATGATTGCCTTCAGTGGACCTTAATTCTAGTTTGTGCTTCCACAAAAATAACTCCAAACAGAAAGTAAATACAGTCTGGGAAAAAAAGTCTCCATTTGTTTAATTAAATGGTTTTAAACAAAATGACAGAAGAAAAAGTGATCATGTCTTACGATTCATAACTATTTTCAAGTGTATTAAATAGTGCTGGGAAGAGATGGAAATTTGTAATCATGATTAACAGCAAGAAATTATTATTGTATTTTTAAAAAATATTGCTGTTAAGCATCTGCTGCTGTTAACCAGCCCTACTATTAAAATCACATGACAGATTCCATAGTGTTATTTAACAAAAACAAGGCTAAAATAAAAAAGTACACCTCATGGCTCAGGTTTGAGAATCACCTTTATATGCACTACCTTGAAGTAGTCTACAATTGTATTAGTCTGACACTTCATTTTCAACTTACTTCACTTCTTTGATGTTTGCAGACATTTGTTTCTACACATCCATTTACAGTTGGTGTCTCAACTTTGCCTGGACCATTGGCATGCCTTGACTCTTATAACCATACTTTTGTAAATTTCCTTGTGTGCTTGAGACAGTTGTTCTGCCGTATGACCTGGTTTCAGTCAGACTTTAGCTGTTGGACAGATGGTCTCACATTTGACTCTTTGGTAAATAAATGAGTTCTTGGTTGACTCAATGCCTGCAAGCTGCCCAGGTCATGTCGCTGTAAAACAAGCCCAAACCATCTCCTTTTCCACAGCTGATATGCTCTGTGCATTTTGGTAACATGTCTCTATTTTGGTCTAATCTGTCTAAAGAACATTGTTTTATGAAAAAAAAAACACAAGAACTTCACATATAGACAGCAGAACTACTTCAGTTAAACATAATTTTAGAATCTGGAAAGAGCTAGAACATTTTTACTATACTCTGATTTGTAAAACCTAGAATTTGAAGATGACTGTACAAGGACAGCTGGGATGAACTTATGTGAGATTATGTGCTGGCAAAATGTCTCACAATGAGGAACTGTTCAATTTTGAGGTATTCTCAATTTCTTTATCTCAAAAGGTTCAAAATGATATGTAATCTGTTGAAATATGATGATTTATCACTAGGTCTGACAGCACACAAGTTCTGTTTACAGGAGTGCCAGTTTGAAAACTTGTTATTTATTCATCTGGAGTGATGTCACTGGAAATTCTAGGCCTGCATTAAAATTTAAAAAGGGGACTCTACAAGCTTTACAATGATGCCAAACATTACCGGGGTTATGGTAGCTGGCAGGGGAAAATAATTATAAAGCAAGAAAAAAGGGTTAATAAATAAAAAATAAATTCTAAAAATTCCACATTTTTTGCACTGCAACCTGTGTGCAATTTGACTATTTTTGCCAGCACTGGTCCAGTTTATTATAGAGTTGACTAAGTCTAAGTATACCATGGTGTAAAAAAGGTCACTAAAACCACTGAATTGTTCTGTCATATTTTTTACAATGCCACATACAATACATACATTTACAATACAAGGCCACATTTTTTCACTTCTTGACCAAGTTAGTTGCTCCAAGCCATCATTTAATTGTGTACTTTACCCTTTAACTTTTATGCTTATTTAAAAATAGACATACCGGTAGTAGGTTGTTTGCACATTTAATCTGGGGGATAACCCCGTCGCTCACGGCTTGTCTACCAGAGGAAACACCTGTCTCTCTTTTCCAGTGAACGATGTTTTGAAACACAAGCTACAAGAGTTAGCATGTTAGCAGGTGAATTATACAGTCATCTTCAGGCTCACTGCAGAAGCTAATAATCAGTTAACTAACTAATAAAGGCTTGTCAGGCTCCCATTGTTAGATAAAAATGCAGAACAGCAGAAAACTAGTAACTGTGCAATAGGCACAATTACTTCAAGGTTATAAATCTAATCTGGTGCTGTAGTTTAGTTTTGGTTTCACTTGTGTGTAATCTTGTGGATTTGATAAGACAGAAGAAAACAACAGTTTTCTTCCTTCTTATTTCTCCTGAAGAGAATCACACTTAGTTTTATAAAAAAGGTAAATGAAATAAATGCTGGTAAAACATAAAACGGGTGGAAACCTTAGCTTACTATTGAACAGCAGATATTTATGTGGAGATCTACCTACCATAATGTTTTCTACAAAATGTTTAAAAAAAGACCAAAAACAGCTGGCTGACTAACAGGTGTTCAATTTGAAATACAAAGAATTAAATATTTTACCAATATTATACAACTATATCTGCAATAAAATGATTAGGTAAATTGCAATATTATTTAGACATTAATAAGTGTTTGCATTTCTGTTTTACAATAAAAGCAAATGAATTATGCTGTTGGGTAGTTTTGCTCACGGTTATCACATCACATCATCAAAATCAGATACTGGACTTTGCCTAATTTAGTGGCATGGCTGGTTGTCAGAATTCACCATGCATGAAGACTGCCAAGAAGTGACAATTACAATAC